CCAAACCAATGGTAACTAAGCAACTATGTAAACCAAGCCAAACCAATGGTAACTAAGCAACTATGTAAACCAAGCCAAACCAATGGTAACTAAGCAACTATGTAAACCAAGCAAAACCAATGGTAACTAAGCAACTGTGTAAACCAAGTAGTTGATAAGCAGAACTGTTGTCTTACCTCTAAACTAAAAGTGTCGTTGTTTGCTACAGGAAAAGCTGTCTCGCCGCCTTCTTCGACGTCGTTCAAGAAATAAAGCACTGTGATGTACCTACGAGACAGACAGACAGACAGACAGACAGACATTCCTGGTCATGTATTGGTTTTCTCAATTCAGTGACTACAAAAGTACTCAGGAGATAAAAAGTCGTACCTGCATAGTCTACAGTGTCGTTTGTCGTGCTCATAGCAACAAGGTACGCCAATCTCGATGTCTTGTGAGTCATGATGACAGTGATAGTGGCCTTCTGGTCCATAGTTCACAACCTGACGTCGAAAAACACCATGTAAAGTTTGTTTCATTGACAATATTTCCCTATGGAATATTTACCGAGATACCAACAGAAATGCTTATTCTTACCTGGAGTTTTTCGCTTCCTTCCACGACAGCAACCGGTAGTTTAGTGAGAGAAGCAACTCTGGTGAAACAAATTAAAACATTCAGAGTCAGACGTACACTTGACGCGTAGACCAGTCGTCGACCAGCACTAGTCAGTCTATTACCTTTGATCAAGTCCCTGTACTGTGGTGTGATCTACCCACGTCTGTCTACTGTTCCTGCTTTTGACTCGTGGTAATTTGGCTGCCATTTTATGTAAATAGCGCATTATACGATCAGTTGTCACTCGTAGAAACTCGTCCTTGTCCATCACACCTGCAAACAATCGTATCAACAGGGTGTCTGTTTGATTTCATGCCATAATCAACTTGAATCACTTTGCTTAACAAATAAATGATTTGAAATGCAGGCACACTGCCTCATAATATCTTAGAATGAAGGAAAAGACAGTTCTCTCGTAGTTGTCAAATGTTGCAGAGATGATTAATGCCGATTGACTCACCGTTACCGTTGCGATCGATTTTCAAATCTTTAAACCTAGTAGATAATCAAAAGATAAGTATTAGGAGATATTATAAGCTATCCGTCAGCGATAATCATATTGCTGTTCATCGACATTTCAGGCTGATTTTGACTTACATTTTAATGACATCACTTTCTGAAAAGTACAAATCACTCAAGTCCACTAGGTTGTGCATCACCTGTAACACAACCAAAACGTTACTCAGTGACCGTCACACAACACTATACACATGCACCAATCCTAACTGCTGATTACCTCAAGAGGGCTGATTGTACCGTCCTTGTTATAATCCCAATCATAGAACGTTTCGTCATTGGTTGGTTCAATGTTGACCCCAGTCTCCGGATCTTGAACCTCACTCGTTTCCATTCCCTGGTTGGCAGCTTGTTCTATTATTTGTTGACATTCGTTATCTGTTAGAAAATCTGGTATTTCTGAAATTAGGAAAATAGATATTATAATCCGATTGCGAGGTAAATGTTCTCGATCATGATAATCATGTTAGCATGATACTAGACTGGCTCCGTTGGTGGTACCGATAGCAATGATAGTTATGCGAGAGTATAGGGGAGGGGTCTTCATAACAATCAACGTTAAACATTGGGCCTTCGTAACATTAAACAAAAAAAGCGGCTCAACCCTCATGATGTTGGCCGTCATGACCACGAGGATGGTGCTCATGATACGAGAAAACACGTGACTTACCAAATATGGGAGGTCTAAGACTTCTAGTTTTGACGTCGTAAAACTTGCCAGGTTCCAATTCCATCTTTTGCACGTGACCAACCTACGCGAAGCACAGAAGCACAGACTATACCACCACATACCACTATATATATATGTATACCACCATATACCACTATATATACCACCATATATCAGTATATATATACCACCATATACCACTATATATATATACCACCATATACCACTATATACATATACCACAATATAGAGTGATATGCAGAAATTCTGATCCTTTTGTATGTACACAAAAGTATATCAAAGCTATATCAGAAATTGTGGGATACCATCCGTGATATTTTTTTCAGAAAGCCCTAGTGATAGGCAACCCGAAAAAAATACCAGCGATGACAATCCATAATTTCTGATATACTTTTGATATGCTTGTATGTATGTACGAAAGGATCAGAATTTCTGCATATCGCTGTATATTACTATATATATATATATACTACTATATATATACCACAATATATCTATAGCACAACCAATAACTGATGGAATATGGGAGTTTCTCAGGGCCGGTGTTTGTTACTGGTAAATAGTAAATAAATGATTCATATTATCAACTTATTTACTATTTGAATATTAATAACTGAGTAACGTACCTTTACTCCATCCAGTCTTGGTAAGATAGTAAAGTCATTCTTATCCTTTCCTGTCTTCTTGCCAACAGTCTGTCCTTTAGATGTGGTYTCAGCTGCTCTGTTTGAAGGGTCCTTTATTTCTCGTCTTCCCTGCTTTGTTTCTGCTTTTGTTGGTTTAACGGTTGGCTGGCCGGACTCACGAGAATCAGGAGTGCTAGCTTGCTGTTGCTTCTTTAGATTAGCTGCTTTGTTCGTGTAATAAAGTCCGACTAGAATAGCCAGACAAGCCACTGTACTGACCACTAAAGTCAAGGAAGGCTGCGACGAACTGACTTCATTCTTTTTACTTGGTTTTCGTTTAGATTTTTGCCGATTAACAGTCTTGTCGTGTGCCATGTTTCACAAGTATATTGGTTTATATAGTTTTTATTCGGTTTGTTTACACTTTTTTTTTCTCAGCAAGAGCATAAATCATTTATGCCAACACGTGGTCACTAATTATAAGTCGCTTTTTAATTTCTGTCAGCGACACAAAAAAGGAAGAATGGGAAATAAAAACGTTTGAACTATTGAACATTTATGAAAATGTAACACGATGATATAACACAGTAACACCATCAAAAAACATTTCAGTGTTGCTTAACGTCGCTTTACGAAAAAAATATATTTATTCTCCTCGTTTTCACCCGTTGAGAGACTTTCTGATGCTATTTATCATCAAGACAACGTACAGACACGAATGACATGTTAGTTATCAGACTTATTGCCTACTAACGGTCAACGCAGACGCGTGAATTCTGAACCAAACAATACTACTAATATGAGCCACACTTGTGATGTGTAACTCAAACTAGTTAATTGTGTGTAAGAAGCAATCCTAAGAAAGTTATTTTAGTTCAATGGTTAAGAGGCAAAGATTACCTACTGACTACTCGCATCTGATTGAAAAACGTACGATTCGGTTGTCAAGGAAACTGGAAGTGATGTTATAAATGTGTTTATTACCAAGCAGTTTTTAGCATCAGTATATACACCAATATTATATCGGCTTTTTATATTTGTTCAATTGACAAGTATACGAGAAAACTAATAATAAAGTAAATAGCTTTAATAACTAAAGTAAAATAATAGATCCAATTCAATGAAATTCAATTTATTTTCGCACAATTAAGATATTGGATGATTTTTATTAATCAAAACCCTTTTTGCGAAACTCTGTACCAATTAACAATAGTCTGTAAGAAGAAGTAGTCAAGTGCTAGACCATCAGTGATGAATTACACAGTGTCCCATGTGTCCCATGTGCCCCATGAAGTGTTGCTCGGTAGTACAAATGTTCACAAGAAGAAACCGTATAGTATCCTATTTATAGCATGGATCTATTCGTACAAGTCAAATCTTATTTAGCCCTATAAATGTTCAGTGATAAAACTCTGAAGACCTTGACATAACGTTTTCTATAATATATATTAGTTTGAATGAAGCTCATCGGACTACTGATGGATCAATGTATCGGCCGATGCACGTGTTATCGATGACTCAACCATGCGTTCTTCAACTGGTATTGCAAGCTAAACACTGATCTAAGTACCCGTAGACGTAGAGGTATCAGCCAATCAAAACACAAAGACTGTTAACAGGGACAAAAGAAAGCAGTCTTCCGCTAAGTACAGTGAACGGATGAATAATTCTTCCAAGAGGTTATCTTGGTTCATTAATTGATAAACGAAACTTTGGTTGAACTGATTTCTGGGGTAAATTATAGAAGTATATCAAAAAGACTGCATGGAGAATCTATATTCATTTGGTGCTGGTAGATGGTTGGTCGTTCTCTGTTTACTGGTCTTTTGTTGCTACTGTTATTGTGAAGAACAGGACTTCAAAACCACAAACAATAAGGAGAGATTTTGCTCTAAAGATAGCAACTACGAAGATGGTGAAATATGTATCGCCGACGAAGAACAGAAATACTCACAGAAATCGAACGAAAACAAAGTTGATTTGGATGGTTTATCGATAGAATTAAAGTTAAAAGAACTTAATTTAAATAAATCAGTCAAGCTAGAGGATTTAGGGATCAAGCCAATTGAACCAATAAAAGAATGGAAGTCTGTAGAAATACCCGTATTAGAAGCAGTCAAGGTAACCTACATTACTTCAGTGATTATTACTTGTTATTTAGATATTATTATGAAGATCTGATTCCCCCCACCCCACCCCCATCGATATGATGATGCTACTATCCCCTCCCCCGTTAGTACTCGTTTAGTACTAATCACAATTATTCATATTGTGTTTATAGGTTGGTCACGTGCAAGACGTGGAGGTGATGCCTGGAGTGACACGACAGATCAAGACTCTGAGTGTTCATCCTCCAATATTTGGTAATATACTGATCCGCTTTGATTCAGCTAATGACATTTAAAATCAGGTAGCATCGTAGCTTCATCTTAACATATAATAAGGCACTATAACACTGATAATCCGACTTATGATAATAATAGTAAATACTGCTTACTTGATGCAGAAATCCCTGAGTTTCTGGACCCACTTGAATGTGACTTCATTGTCGCTATGGCTGAGCGTAAAGGGATGGCGCCGAATACGAAGCCAACTTATAATGAAGGGATAACATTTGAAGACCCTGAAAATACATTCAAGACGTGGGATTACGATAAGAATGGCTTCATTGATCCAGAGGAGGTTAGAACAAGGTGAAACAGGGTAATGGGATATCATCCATCCATCCATCCATCCATCCACCCACCCATCCATCCCTCCATACATCCACCCATCCATCCATCCATCCATCCACCCATCCATCCATCCGTCCGTCCGTCCGTCCGTCCGTCCGTCCGTCCGTCCGTCCGTCCGTCCGTCCGTCCGTCCACCCACCCATCCATCCATCCACCCATCCATCCAAACGATCCAACCCGATAATCACACATTCAACGAGACAAGACGATGTTTCCTTTTTTACACAGATTRTATTACTTCCCGGTAAAATCGATCTCAGGTTCTCAGAGGAAGATGCTCAGCAGATGTAAGTTATCATTAATCTTGTAATGCAGATGATCCTTGTGATTAGACGCTGAGCAATAACCTCATTTACTCTATGTAAGCTGTGTGCAAGTATTGATAGAATCAGTACTGACCGCTAACCATGCATATATTTGACTGATCCCAACAGGTTCAATGACCTCAAGATGGACGAAGATCACAATGGTTAGTAGCCCTAGGTCATTCTTGCTAATTGTGAAAAAATATCAGGATATTTTACAGGTATTTGCTTTATCTTCTTATTCTTAAAGGTAAAATCGACTTGGAGGAGTTCAAGAATACCGATCTACTGAAGATAAAGGAGTATATAAATGAGCGCCTGCAGGACACGAGTCAGCGTCGCAACGCTACAAGTGAGCAGGCGTGGATATGGCATGATGAAGATGAACTACTACGATACCAACCAGAACTGCTGAACCGCTTCCATGAAAGGTTGGTGATGTCTAGTAGAAGTAGGAAATACTATTATCTTAATATTCATAAACTAGCATTTGTTGTCTCTCGTGCTTCAGGCTTGAAGCTGTCACGAAGATACCCAAAGAAATTGTTAAAGAAAGCGAGCCGCTCCAGGTAACCATTCATACGTCCTTGCACTCCTCACTCTCCGGGACAAGGAGAGCCAATCAAAAAAATAAAAACGACTTTAAGTAAAATCGTTTGAACTTTACTCAGGTCTTAAAGTATGAAAAGGGAAGCTACAACTATTGCCACCAAGACTCTGAACCTAATGTGGGTACAATACCATGCTGTCAGTACGGTGATACCAGACACTGTAGATTATGTAGGTATGTAATAACAGGCTCGAAATATGATGATAAACAAAAAGAGTGCCTATTGGAACATCGTTTTCTAATGCTGGCACTCCCCAAGGCAAATCACGTGCCATGTGGGAAGAAATGATGATGATGCAGCCACCTAATGTCGCTATTTTAGGTATTTACTTGATCCATTTTCTCTGCTGTAGGTTTATTAGCATATCTTATTTTCTCAATGACGTAGAAGAAGGTGGAGAGTTGATCTTTCCTCACGCTAACAGCAGATTTGAGGTGATTATGCGCGTATTATTGAGGTGCATTATTATCAGGTCACTTGACCTTTGTCACATGGACCGTTCATGTACTAATACTTGTCGTCTGAATAACAGGAGGGCATCATGCTCAACTCAGGCAACTGGACAGGATTCTTTAACTTTGCAAAGACAACTGGAAGTCGTAATATGTTTAACGTACAGCTGACCTTTAAGACTGAAGGCGCTAATAACGTCATCCAGGGGAATGGAACCGATGAAAGTGGACCTTTTGAGCTGGTCGACAGTCTGGTGGTCGACGATATCGTCAGGTTAGTTAGTTTACTTGTATCCCATATTAGTAACCTTGACATACATGTTCTAATCTTTCTCTTTGTTTTTAAAGATTTCGAAAGCGATACACGGATAATAGCGAAGGAGAGTTTGTTGTTAAATATGCTGGACGAATAAAGAGTGGAGCAACAATAGAAGGCAAGTGGTGGGTCCCAGGCCACCAGAGAATGAACGGTAACTTCTTCATGTACAACACTGAATACGAGGTACGTGTAATTCACTCATAACAATACATGTCATTCTCAGTTCTACCAATAGTACACTCTTATACTAATGCACTTTCAAAGCGTGCCGTGTGTCATACTATTTTTTGTTTTGTTTTGATAGCGATGGATGGATCGCCAGCTCCAGAAGTGTGACTCAAGCGCCTACTGTCCAAAGGGTCAACTGGTTATCAAACCTAAAAAAGGTACAGCTATCATGTGGTACAACCATAAGATCACTGAAGACAAGTGGATTGGACCCCTTGATGACAAGAGTTACTATGGTAACTGTGACGTCACCAAAGGTGAGAAATGGATGGCGACAAACTGGATTAATGTGATTGGTGACGGGAACATGACAATGACAGCATGGAAAGGGGGAAAAAACTGGCTGTCAGTCTTGAACAGAGAGAAAGACGAACAATTCTTTCAGAAAATGTTCACAAGTGAAGCAAAGCAAGAAGATATAATTGAGCAAATGTTTAAGAAAGATATGAAAGAGAAAATGAATCCATCGGATAGTAAGCCGCCAGAGCGACATGTGTTGAATGCCGTTACCTCGTTACTAGAAGTACTAGACTATAAAGAAGTGGCAGAAGTATCTAAAAGAGTTCATCAGAAACTACACATGACGTGTATTCCTCTTGTACTCAACCAGGAGGGTAAAATACGGATCGTGGATGGAAGCAAAGCTGATTGAATCAAGAACAATCAACACAAGAAAACTGTAATAGCGTTAAACGCTAACGAACAATGATACACTGTCTTCTAGTGTGAAGGCACTTCTTAATAAAACATTATATACCAGCCCAGGGAATAAGGGCAGATATGTTGAATATTTTGTAAATAAAAGGTTTTTTAAGGCTTCGCCCATGGAAACACTTCTTGCGTTTGTTTATGCAATTAATTAAATATGGCGCAGTCACATGATGGGGAGGGATAAGTAACAGCCAATAACATGTCCAGTATACAGTAGAGAAATGGAGGGCATTCATACGCTACAATATAGTTTCCATATGTATGTCCGTGATATCGTTCCTCACATGTAAACTACAAGGTAACCTTAGTTCGGTATTAGCTTGCTAATCATTCTACCCGATATGATTTCATGCGCAGCCTTGCGGAGTATCATAGTACTGTTTGATTTGTGTTATTGATTTGATACGCTTTAGTGAAGCATGAAAGATCAGCACTATTTTACAGTCTTCACCTCAATTGACTTTAATCTATCTACACCGGTCACGAGGGTTCCCTTAAATCCATAACGTGGTCTGGATATTTTATTCATCTTCAGTAGTTGAAATTTTTATCCACCAATAAGATCAAACATTCCATGCATGTTCCCATATTACAATACGATACACTGCACATGCTTATAGCACAGTATAGTAGATTCAAGTGTAAGTATACGTGTGTCTGGTACAACGAACGAATGTTGCTAAGAATACACTGCACATGCTCTTAGCACAGTATAGCGGATTCAAAGGTAAGTATACGTGTGTCTGATACAACGAACGAATGTTGCTAAGAATACACTGCACATACTCTTAGCACAGTATAGTGGATTCAAGTGTAAGTATACGTGTGTCTGGTACAACGAAATAATGTTGCTAAGAATACGTTAAATGCAGAAAAGTAAAAATAAACAATATATAGTGACTCTAGCTAGGCAAGATTTAGCTTTAGTGATTAGCTATACAAGTCAATGAGTGCTTAGTAACCCGTATTCATATGATACAGGCGGTCAATAAGCGATATTGCACGGTTGAGTTGGTGGTTATCGGGTGGCCTAGCAAGTACCCGTTTCTCATCAAATCAATAAATCATCTAATTTGCATCCATAGCGGCCAGTACGTTCAGGAAAATAGAAAACCGATTATTTCCGTTTTTTGTTCGTCAAGTTTGGTCTAAAGAATGAGGAAATATCAAAAGTATAACGGACATGTTTTAATGTTGATTATATTATTAATAGCCTGTTATATTAGACCAGCAGTTGTTACTGGAAGCCAAGAAAAGACCGACAGAGAATGTACACTGGGAGATAAAGAATGTCGAAAAACAGAAAAACCAAAACTACGATTAGCACTGCCGTACATCAATACTGTCAAGGTAAGAACTAGTTAAACTCTGTTGCTGTAAACAGTCGATCAAGTAAAACACTGAAGATATTGCAGAACCTAACCTTGGAACGTAGCCGAGAGTTTTACACAGATTACCCTTATTTAGAATTGCATGATCTTTTGCTTAAATAGATTGTTCTTCATAATGGTGGACGAAATGCTGTAAAGCTTAGCAATGTGTTACGATAAACGGAATTCCAAGGATTGCAGTACGGCTTTGAAAGCTAAGATACAAAGAAATAGATGGTTTTTAAAAACACGTAACCAAAAATGAATAGTTTTGATTTGCATGAATCTACTAAAATGAAATTCAGTTTCCTGAAATATCTATTTTCTTGATATTTGTCGTTTATGATGTCACTGAAATCACTGCCCTTGAAGAAAACTGTGCAAAGATCATTGAACCATCAGAAGGGTTGAATCAAACAAGTTAAGTGTGTTGTAAACATCGTTGGTCAACAAGGTGATTCAACTGTGTCAGTATCCATTACAAATCAGTGTTTCTAGCAACGTACTGAACAAATGGGATCGGTTCATAACATGTTCAGATTACGATGAATAACACATTTACCCAGCATATTCAGTGCAGAACCTTTATGCTTCACAATGGAACAAGGTACTGCTCAGTAATGAATGAATGAGTGATATCGTATTATCATTGGTAGGTTGGTTATGAACAACAAGTTCAATTGTCAGAAGGAAAGCTGCTCAATATAAAGACATTGAGTACGGCGCCACCAATTTTTGGTAAGACACGTCACTTTAGATAATATTGGTAATGATGATGATGATGATGAAAATGATAATAATGATGGTGATGTTAATGACAATGATGACGATGACTGATGATGATGGTGATGAAAATGACAATGATGACGATGACTGATGATGATGGTGATGAAAATGACAATGATGACGATGACTGATGATGATGGTGATGAAAATGACAATGATGACGATGACTGATGATGACAATGATGGTGTTGATAGTGATGACTGATGATGATAACTGATGATGATGATAACGATGACTAATTATGATGATGGATGATGAATGATGATGGTGATGATGGCGGTGATGTGATGGTAATGACAATGATGATGATAATGATTATGTTGATGATGATGGTGTTGATAATGATGACTGATGATAACTGATGATGATGACTGATGATGAATGATGATGATTGTAATCATGATGATGATGATGTTGATAATAGTGATAATGATGTTGGTGATGATAATGGCGATGATGGCGATGGAGATGATGGCGATGATGGCGATGGAGATGATGGCGATGGCGATGATGGCGATGGAGATGATGGCGATGGAGATGATGGCGATGGCGATGGAGATGATGGCGGTGATGATGATGGCGATGATGTCGGTGATGATAATAGTAAGCACCAGAGATGATTGTATAATGGAAGATGCTTCTTACTAATAAAAGTTACCAACTGCTTAAACTTTCTCAATAGAAATCCCTGACTTTTTTACTGCCGACGAGTGTGACTTGGTTATTGAGATGGCCAAGAATAAAGGCATGTCAGACAGTCCTGTCATGGAGGATCCACGAGGCCTTCCTAATGACACTACTAAACAAGTGTTTGATGACTGGGACACTAATGATGATGGCTTCATTGATCCCGAGGAGGTAATTACAGTATTCAGCATAGAAACGTTATTGACATATAATAATAAAATATTGGTTGGTTGTCTAGGTGATATATTTACCAGGAAAAAGTGATTTGTACCTCACGACTGAAGATGTCACCAAAATGTAAGTATGATCATGATTGTCCTTCGGTACCTGGGAGGGTAATCCACACAAGTCTCCCTTATTTCAATTATATACATCTTACATGGCTAATTATTTTAACGTGTTTAACACTAGGTTTGCTGATCTTGCAATAGACAAAGATAACAATGGTAAGTAGAAAATAACTTGGTGTAATCTTACCTCTAATAGTTGGCTCACACATGCGATGTCTTCCTAACAGGAAAAATGGATTTCGAGGAGCTTCAGGCAGTAACAGTAGAAGGAATGAAGAAATACTTTGATGGTCTGAGAAACACCAAGTCACGGTTACGAAGCAGAAATACTCAGCAAACCTGGTTATGGCACGACGAGGATGAACTACTCCAGTACGAAGACCTGCTGGAAGATTATCATGATAGGTCAGTTAGTGTGAGGGGTAGGGTAGGGTGGACGAGAATGATCGGTTGGAAGATTACCATGATAGGTCAGTTAGGGTGTTCGAGGTGTGGCACTAGAGGGAAAGAAAAGACCAGGGGATGATGTGGAAACTAATTGAAAACGTCTTTTGTTTGCTTCAGGTTTTCCAAGCTCACCAAATTACCTAGTAAGATCATAGAAGACAGTGAACCACTGCAGGTAATATAGATAATCCTTAATGAGAGCAGATGTCTTATCAGACAAGTCGTTTACCTTGTTTGATGTCGTTACAGGTAGAACACTACCAACAGCATGGTCATTATCACTGTCATCATGATTCTGAGGTTATCAACACAGGCCTCCCATGTTGTACATATGGGGCGTCAGAATGCAGGTTATGTAGATATCTTACTGTCAGTATATTCCTAAACGACGTTGAAGATGGTGGAGAGTTGGCCTTCCCTGTAGCAGACAATAATACATTCAACTGGGAGGTTAGTCGTCACTTACTCATTCAATATTCATCACTTGACTTCCTATCGTCACAAAAGTTCGTTTGTTTTTTGTTCAGGTTTGGACAAAGGAATCTTTGACCAAGTGTAACCTTGCCAAACACTGCTCTGAATCAAACCTCGTTATCAAGCCAAAGAAAGGCAAAGCTATATTATTCTATAATCACCTGCTGAACCACAAGACTCGCTGGCTCAGTGCAGTCGACCCAAGAGCGTTAGTTGGCGGCTGTGACGTCAGGAAGGGAGAGAAATGGATAGCTAATGCATGGATTAATATTAACGGTGATGGGATCAATGACTTGATATCATGGAAATCAGCCGCGAATTGGATGTCGGGAAATAATAGGAATGATGAAGTGATAACTGCATTGAAACGAACAGATACTGAAGGGAATATTGACGAAGAAATTGAAAATAGATATACTCTAGAAAAGAACATACTGAGGGCTCCCACGAGTAACAAGATAGAGGGCCCTCCTAGACCGGAAGGGACACCTGACTTTAACAACGTTCAGGGACATGCTCGTGGATCGTATGATGCGATAGAAGGTATTAATATGAAGGAAGTTAAAAACGATAATACTCCACATACACAACAAGAGAATATATATACTCGTGGGACTCATGATGCTACACAAGGTATTAATATGAAGGAAGTAAAAAAGGATAATACTCCACAAACACAACAAGAGAATATATATACTCGTGGGACTCATGATGCTACACAAGGTATTAATATGAAGGAAGTTAAAAACGATAATACTCCACAAACACAACAAGAAAATGTACGATATACAAAACAATCCACACAAGAGCAAGATGAGGAGGAAGAAGGTCCAACAGGACCTATAGCACACTTAGGAAACACACCAGCACCGTTACCGTTACCATTAGAAACGGTGACTGAACCAAAACCACCAACAATGGATGACCCACCCATCCCCCCACAGGAGGGATATCGGGTACTCAGATCAATAATGCTATTAATAGATGAACTGGATCAAGTTGAGCTTGAGATCTTAGCAAGAAACTTACATTCGAAATTAAAACTGGTCTGTGTACCTTTAATAATGAATCCTATGGGAGGTATATAAGAATATGAAATAAATACTAAACCGACTCCAGCCCACCGACGGGATGTTGTACAGAACGCAACAATGAACAATGTATAGCATAAATACGTCAAATCACTAACAAGAGTAATGCATAACATGCCGGGCCACCATGCGTCATGCAGTAATATATATATATATACCACTTGTAAAGACCTCTGCTTGTCGGTGAGGTACTGGTACGAGTGTGTTTAGTGACTTATTAATAGTGGCATAAGTGTTATACAAGTGTCGTCTATACATTCCTTATCAGTATAGGTTATATCGCTAGTTTGTCGCACCAATGTATTCTTGGGCTATTAACAAAATACGTCATGCTTTGTTGTTCTTTTGTTCAGTGTTATTTAACTGAGTTAACAGTCCCAGAATGCATTGCTGTGACAGTGATATAGTCTATGACATGTTTATGTCAGAATCGTGTACAAAGTTGCCGTTAATATCAAGAGAACACAAAACTAGAAAACGATTTTTTTAAATTAAGGTAGCTGCCTACTTCAGCAAAAAGTAATTAGATAACTTTTTAAGAAAGCTTTTTTACACAGCAGGGCCGAGTTGTTCAAAGCTGGATTAGCGCTAACCCAGGATTAAGTCCATAGGTCTCATTAAGAGTTAACCCAGGATTAGCACTAATCGGGCTTTGAACAACTGGGCCGAAATAGTACGCTGATTCAAAATGAAGGGATAAAAATGGTGTGTCCCGAGCTCGTTTTCGAGTAATGAGATGTTAATTTTACCATCCAAGTTTTCGAAAGAAAAATAGCGGAAACCAAAATAATTTATAACTCGAAGGTGTAGGAAGTAATTGAGTCAAAACATCTACTAGGATTTTTGACAAATAAAACTAATTGAATGAAGATTATTGAGAATAAGCACTAACATTTTGAAGCTATAACACCGCTTTGAGCTTTAACACCGCTTTGAATTTTTTTTGTGTGAAGACATGCGAATCAAACGCTGCGAAGTAGTCAGCCACATTTAGATCAATATTATATTGTTTCATACCGGAATACTAAATCTAATTGTTACATGAATTGTATAAAAAAGATGAATCAATCGAGAAATAAAAAAAGAAAGCCTGGTCTGGTCTGGTCTGGTTTATTCCTCCTATAAGGGTAATGTACTTTAAATATTACTGGATACCTTTGTTATTGCTCTGCAGGAGTGAATATTCAGCCATCAAGTGTTAATATACAAGGAAAGGAGCCTTTGTTTTAGACATTTCCATAGCAACCTGCAGYGATAGAGGGGTGAATAAAGAACAGGTCTTGTAAAGGTAAAACCACGTGGTGTATGTACGGGTAGTTTAGATACATATAACACCACAGCTGAAGTCAGTTAGTTGGTTGGTCAGTGTTTTTCGTTTGGACGTGCAATATGGACTTCACTGGATATTTGTCTGTGTTGGTCTGTTTTTTCTGTGGTGGTTTGGCTATGGAAGGACCGGAACTCATTCTACCAAAAGATTGGCATCTGCCTAGACTGGACCCAGTCAGGGTAACTAACAAACTTAATATATATCAGTAATATTACTAAGAGCACTAACTGTATATTTAGATACCATTCAAAACGATACCTTACGAGGCTTATATAGTAATAATAATCACATGGGACTGAAACTTTCTCAGGTTACTAAGCAGTCGTGATACAATGGTAGTCTACACTGACAGAGTTTAAAGAACGTAAAAAAACCCGCTACTAATAAATTTACTAGAAATTATCCAAAAGCTTTTATTAGAAAAAAATCATGTTTGAAAGTAGAAAACGGAAAAAAGTTTCTCGATTGACGTTAAAAGAAAGTAAATTAGTAGCCAGTTAAACGAGTTGTCGATTGAAAAAATGAATGAGAATATTGTAGCAGACGAGGAGCACGTGGTGACAAGAAGACCTGTCAAGTTACCTAACCAGCTGAAACAAATGCTCTTTTTAATGAATGAACTTTTGTAGTGTTAATTGTATAAATTACCAAACTGAAGATTTCCCTAAAAAAGAACATTCTTGGACGTGAAACTGTAAGAGATGCTTGATCTATTTATATCAGCATATCAGTGTAACCAGAGATAAATAGATAGAAACAAAGTGGAGTAACATACGAGGTTTGCAAGTGTATTCGATATATTTTCCATAATTCCCATGAGACTACATTGTATCATAGAAGGACAGCACTAACATGTATCGTCACTGCAGGGGCGTAGCGAGGACCTAGGAGCTGGGGGGGCACTTATCCAAAATAAGAAAAAATTTCAAATTCCCACGTGCAGATTCCAGGCTCTGACCGGGTTCGCAGTGCACAGGTAGCCCGTCCGGATAACTTCGTATAAATTCGCACTTTTGTAGGTTGTAATAATTTATTTTCCTCTTTCGTTTTGGTTTAATATGTTCTTTTTGTTGTTATTCTTTTTTCAAATTTTTTTTTTCAAAAATTTTGGGGGGGCACGTGCCCCCCCTCGCTACGCTACTGCGTCACTGTTTAATGTTTTTAATGGTTAAGTATTGTTGATGTTTCAGATTGGATACAAGCGTTATTATAGCATATTTAAAGCTACAGCCAAACAAGATAAAACACACTCAAATATAATTACCATCAGTTCTAAACCACCTATCTTTGGTAAGATTAAAACTTATTGATCATGATATCTAGTGACTTTGTTAAGTATTACCGTAAGTAATCATCCAATAGCCGATACAGTCCCCTTCCCTTCCCTTCCCTTCCCTTCTCGTCTCTTTCTTTTTTTTGTGTGTTTGTGTGTGTGAGATTGGCTTTGACATATATTTATATCACAGAAATCCCCAAGTTCTTGACGTCAGAGGAATGCGATCATCTTATCATGTACTCCAAACGTGTTGGATTCAAGCCCAGCCCGCAAATAAAAGATTCAACAGAGATTAACGAAGAGACTTCACAGAAAACTTTCGATATTTGGGATTATGATAAGGATGGTTTCATAAGTCCAAGAGAGGTATGCACTAGATATAGACTACTAGGCCCCGAGAGGGACGCAATGCACAAGGAAGGGTCACTAGGCACCAGAAGGCATAACTGGGCACTAGATGGGACTACTAGGCCCCGAGAGGGACGCAATGTCCAAGGAAGGGTCACTAGGCACCAGAAGRCACAACTGGACACTAGATGGGACTACTAGACCCCGAGAGGGACGCAATGTCCAATGAAGGGTCACTAGGCACCAGAAGGCACAACTGGGCACTAGATGGGACTACTAGGCCCCGAGTGGGACGCAATGTCCAAGGAAGGGTCACTAGGCACCAGAAGGCACAACTGGGCACTAGATGGGACTACTAGACCCCGAGAGGGACGCAATGT